GCCGGTCCTGGCCCGGTACGGGCGCGACACCCGGCCCGGTACGGGCGCGACACCCGGCCCGGTACGGGCGCGACACTGAGGGTTGCGATCCGTTGCCGGTCACGAAAAAAGACAAAAAGGAAAAAAAAATAGATAAATGCCATTATTGCTGACTTTATAGTAAAGAAAGCTGAGTTTCAGAGAGTTTAAACAACTTACCCAAATCTCTCAGATAGTTAACATATGTTTGTATCCAGGCTGACTATATTCTTTCCACTATATCCTGCAGCCTTACCAAGAGAAAATCCTCTGATGAATTATAAAGCATATTAATGTGAATATGTTTAATGGCCAGCCCTCCCTCTCCCCCTTAAAACTCAGAAAACAAAATAATGAATCTGTAATTGAGGAACTTTAGGTGGCACACACAGGTTGGTACCAGGTAGGCAAAGGGCTACTCAACCTTTTAAACCTATTCCCAAAGAAGACCATTAATTTTCCAAGGATTTTTCTGGAGCTCTCTCCCAGTTACCCATATGTTCACCCCAACAGCCAGACCAAAGACCAGAACTGTGTGACCTTCCTTCTGAGAAATACAGAGCATGTGAATCACTTTCTCCTGTTCCTATTCCTATGGCAGGCACACACTGCCTGCCCACCCACCATGTGCCACCTGGGCAAAACATGAACACTAAGCAGGAAGAATGATTTGTTAGGTAAGAGAGTGACTCAGGGCTCTCCTACTTTTCACAAAATAGAGACCTGGCATTTGTAGCCTATGACAATGACATGCCCTGACATTACTCGGGTATAGTGAGGTCAGTCTCCTCAAGCGCCCGTCAGTGGCAGCCCACCCGGTCCTGATCCAGAATTCTTAGATGACTTGCATCTGAGGATAAGATTTACACTATGGCATGTTAAGGATAGGAAAATAGAGACAATCACCGCCCTAGCTCATCTCAAATCAGCATCAACGCAGCTTTAGTACTTTGATAGGGAGATTCGGGTGTCGAGACATGGTTAAGAGGAAAACTTCAAATAAGACTGGGATCGACAATGCAATAAATCGTCGAAACGAGTTTCGATTTTCCCCTTCAAGCTTAGGATAATAGCAAACTCTTGATAATTGACTGACAATTTAAGCTCCTCCTTTCAGCCAATCCTTTTCATCAGGACACTACAGAGTTTCTTAGGAGAGTGCTGGGTTTTTTCAGTTCTACACGCCACCCTAGTACATCTGAAAAGGGGCAGCGGCGAGGAAAAGGGACGCGTAGGCATTTTCCCATCCTGGCTAGTCAGGCCCTGAATCATCACAAGTTGATCGTACTTTCCCCTAGGCCAGCAGCATTCCAGACTTTTCTTGGAATACTATGGTCTTGTACTTAAAAGGAAGAGTGGTGGGAGACAGGCGGAGAAGGGGAGTGGGGAGAGGGCGCAGAGTGCCGTTCCCGCCGCAGCCAGAGGAACCCAGAGGCGGCTGGCCCAGGAACTTGCGGTCCCGCCCGCAGGCCGCGCATGCAGGGCGGGGAGCGACGGGCGCGGGGCGGGCAGCTGCGGCTGGCTGGGGGCG